AAGAAGAAGAAGAAGCTAAACAACCTATAAGAAAATGTCAGCAAATACAACCACAGTAATAATAATATATGCTTATTAAAAGATTTTTAAAGCAATGAAAGAAATTATAAAGTGGAGAAGTAACATTATAAATCAGTATCCGAAATTTGTAAAGAATCTTGCAAATAAAAAAGTTAAACAACTTAAGAATGAAGAAAATAGGGGCTGGGGATTTAGCTCAGCAGTTCGGTGGCCTGCCTTGCAAGCGCAAGGACCCGAGTTCAATCCCCGGTACCACACACACAAAAAAAAAAGAATGAAGAAAATAATGAATAAGCATTTTATAGATAAAAAGCAAATAAGCATTCAGAACATTGAATGCTCTATAGTATATTATGTAGAAGTTCCACACATCTCAGAGGTATCACACTTGATGAAGCTAGGGGGCATGCATTGAATATAAAATAGTACAACCACTATATAAAAACAGCTTGGCCTTTCCTATGTGCCCTATGACCTTACATCTTCACTCCTTCGTATATACCAGGAAAAGGTTTATATAATACTAAGGGAGAAACATTCAACAAGTTTCATAATAGCACTGTAACAGCAAAGAAAATAAAGTGTTAATAATCCAGATGACCAATAATGGAAAAAAAATAACTTGATACAGAGAGTGGAATACACATGGAAATGAACATATTTAAATGCAACTAAACATACTAACATGGAAGAATCTAAAAAATTACAAGAGAAAAACCATAATATCCTTAGGGAGACACACATATAAGACATATCTGAAAATAAAACAAGGATGTGATTTTTATAATATTAAGCTACAGTTCCTTCTGGAGTATGGGAGATGGGTGTCATGAGTGGGGAAAAGGAGAGGACTTCAGAGTTATAATTCTTCTGTATGTGTGCAGAATGTAGTTTTTACACAGAATTTCATGAAAATAGCATCCTGTAGGAAGGAAACCATGCAACCTATGTCTGGATGTCTGAGTTGAGGCATACGGATGTCCAGGTTCAGGCAAAGGTGGGAAGGATAGAATCTGGGCTGTGCTCTCAACTTTTCTCAGCAACATGCATGCCTATCTTTCTTATAATTAAATTTGAATATTTCCCACTGAATTTCCTGGGAGGGGTGAAAAGATCTAGTTTTCAGATGAAGCAGTTTAAGTGGAAATCCTCATTAGAAGACATTTCTGCTGAAGTATGATAAGTACACATAATGACTGCGTCTTGCCTTTCCTTGCTTTGTTAGAAATTGCATTACTTAACCAAACAGGAAGAGAGGAGGTGTTACACCTGCTGGGGACAGGGCGGCAGAGGGTATATAATTTGACCACACCAGTGAAGGGCTAGCCTTTTGGACTCCAACTGGTAATAATGGTGCAAGCTGTACATAGATGTTTTTGTTAACTAAATCTTTCAAGCAGCTCAGTTTTGACATATTTCAAAATATTATTGATTTGGGGAGTGTGGTGAAATACTTTTAAAAATCTCTTCCCTTTGGACATGTTATCGAGGCTAACAGAGCAAATGGGGAAGCCACAGCACAGTCTAGACTCTAGTGCTTTCCTCTGGCACAAAGAAAGCATCTTGCCTTCACGGAGAACTTGGGATCTAAGGTCCAACTATTTTTGTAATTGTATATAAAAAACAGAATCAGAAGGGAACAGAAGAATTGGCACCTGTTGACTTGTCAGCAAAAGGGTGGGGTTTTTTTGTTTCTGTCTTTAAATAGTTGTGGTATAGTAACTGGTCCTTCTCATCTTGAGTCCTTAAAAAAATGTAGCTGTGTTCAGCACAGTACTTTTAGAGAAGAAAAAAGGTCATATTTTAGGGAACTATTTGGAGTCTTTCTAGGAGGAAGCTTTAGTCACCCATTCCTTATGATTTTCTTAGGTGCATTATTCCATGGTCTATCAATGCTAGAAAACTGGAGTCACTCTCCATGACAAGCCTGGCCACGCTGGAAATGGTCTGAATACATATGGACTGAATTTCCCATGACCTTGCTGCCTACACTATTCTGGAGGGTTTCTGGGTAATCTCCGGGGTGCTGCTCTTTCGAAGCAAAAGATCATGTGTATGAAATTGCCACATGGTAATTTATTCCCAGTTTTGAAGCCTACTGTGCTATCATATTACTGGCCTCTTCCCTATGCAGAGTTATGAAGAAGTATGACAAAAGTGGCAGGCTGATTTGCAATGATGTCGATCTGTGTGACTGTCTAGAGAAGAACTGCCTGGGCTGCTTCTACCCCTGCCCCAAGTGCAACTCCAACAAGTGTGGGCCCGAGTGCCGCTGCAGCCGCAGATGGGTTTATGATGCCATTGTCACGGAATCTGGAGACATCGTCAGCTCACTGCCATTTAATATTCCTGACTAGAAGCTGCTGTGTGTGGATTGATTTGTTTCTTCTTTTTATATATGTAAGATAATCATTTTATTTTGGGAAAATTTTAGGCTTTGGACAAAATATTGGAAAAACCTACTTAAGATTCATGTTCAATGCCATAGAATTGGCAGTAATTCTATAAAGTCTGTATCTTCTCAAATTCCTCAATTACAACTAAAGGATGTGATAGTAGACAGATCAACTTCTCTCCTTAGGCCATCATTTTGACTGTGCTATTGCATTAAACATCTCTCCCCTCTTGGCTGGTGTCTGAGAATATGCAGTTTTAAGATATTCAGAACTCTGTAGCTAACAGCTTTTCTTATATAGAGCATAGAACTGTAAATGTATGATACCTCTTTATCCTTAGTATATATTTCTAGTTCCAAATCAAAATTGCCATTTAAATTAAAAGTAATCCTTGTGTCTTTGTACTGTATAACCTTGGCCTCATTTTATTGTTGCAATAACATTAAAATTAAATTTGTTAATATTTTCATCATTAAGCATTTGTGTTTTTCTTATAAAAATTGAGATAATATTCTAAAAGCTCTTGATTTGCATTTTTAATTCTGGGATCGGTTTTTCAGGATCTTATTTCAGAAGGAAAAACTTTAATAAATTTATTGTCAGTTATATTGATAAGCAGTTAGAACCTGATGTAGTTTTTTCAGTTCTGATACATTGAAGGAAGTGTAAAGAATGAATTCAGCCTTCTTCAAATTATTTTTTATGACATTCTTTAAGTCAAAGATTTTATAGTTGAACGTGCTTCAGAATCACCTGGAGGACTTGCTAATTCACAGTTTTGGGTTCACTAGATCTGGAACAAGGTTCAAGCATTGGCATTTGTAACAAATTCCCAGGCAATGTTGTTGTTGGCATGGGAACACTTTGAGAACTATTTCCCTAAGTTACACTAGATATATAATATAAGGAAATACTTAAATTATGTAATTCAATAAATTTAAAAAGTAAATAAGAGTATTTGTTCTTAAAACAAATATGAAATGCTATAGTTTCTCAGGTTTATTGTTTCCACATAAAAACACTTGTTTCTACATAAGGTATGTGACCTAGGGAGAGCTTTTGACAATTGTTACTTCTGGATTTGTTACTACCTGCTAGTATATTTAAAGATGAAAATAACAAAACTCCTTAAAATACCCCCATGCTGTGAGTATAAAACTCCTAAAACATAGATATGTAGCAAGAGAGCTTGGATTCCTTTCTGTCCCATTCCACAGAATTTAGTGTATTTTCTAGATTCAACTCACTTTTGGCCAGCATCTACTGCGAACCAGTGTGCTAAGTGCTCCATTTTATTAGCTTTAGCTGTCCCAGTTCTGTGAGGACAATATGCCCTTACTCATGCACAGCCTTTGCAGTGCTTCTCAGGAGTGTTTGGCTCTGAGACCAGGAAAAAGCAGTGAGAGAGCCCATTTCTGTTGTCATTTTATTTTGAGAACGGTTATTTTGTGAATGCATTCCTTTTTATATTATTTACTCAGGAACCATATAGTTTTAAAGCTGAAAGGAGGCTTCCAGTTCATCTATCCATTTGATCAACACTTACTAACCCAATGCTGCTCCTCTTTGTCAGGTAGCAGGCTTGGTGCAGAGGAGAGGGCAGTGAGCAAAATCTACCTGGTTCCCATCTATAGGGGTTTGTGGACTAAAACCAAATTATTATTATTTTTTTTTTGCTTCGATTTTTGCTTTAACAACTGAGGAAATTTAGACCCAATCAGTACAATGTCTTGTGAGGACTCAGGAAAGCTGGTGACCTTGGTGTTTTGAACACGAAGACTAGGTGAGTGGTCTTTTCATGGTACTACAGGATTTCTCCATTAGCCTGATCCTAAAACACTTCAGGCTTTTGTAAGGATACACATTCCTGAGTGCTTTCCTAAACCTTAGGATTCACGACCTCTAGGACTGAGACTTAGGCATTCATATTTTTAAACAAGTGTTCTAGGTAGGTTTCATGATTGGAAAAGTTTGAGAAACACTGCTGTATATGGTCTTTGGTCCTATTTTTCTAAATACTCCTGGGAAATTTTGCATTGAAGTCTCCTTCACTTCTGTCTCCTCTTGTCATTCATTCTTAAGCATTAAGGTAATCTGGTTTAAGTTGACCTGGTTTTAAAAGTGTATCAGTGAATTCTGTTAGTAAATTTTCCAAGAAAAGTGAAAGATAAAGTAAAAGAAAATTGCATAATTACTAAGTAGACACTTCTAATTGCTCATGTGGAAGTCTACTACAATGTGATGAAACACACTTTTAGAAATCAGGTTTATTTCATTTAAATCTAATGCCAACTCAATGCATTTTTTTAAAAGCCTCCTGAACTAGATGATTGTTGTAAAAATAAATTTCCTCAGTTGTTAAAGCAAGAATCAAAGCAGCAAAAATTAAAGCAACAATAATAAATTGAATAAATTAATTGCAGAAATTTATTTTGCAAGTGTCTAATATTTATTGAAGAGTGAATAAAGCTCCTTAGCTATTTGAACTAAAATTCTGATTAACAAGGAATGCAGCTGTACTATCAGATTACATTAACGTGGAAATTGTCAGTGTAATACATTTTTCTTTTCTGTACTTGGCTATCTTTCAATGCTGATGCTGTATCTTTATGAATATGTATAGAAATTGTAAGGAAAGTGATTTTACAGGATATTTAGATTTAAACTGGTGCATACTTGAAGGATGTGGATGAGTAACCCTGAGCCAATTTATGCAAGAATTTTCAACTGGAATGACATATCTCATCAATTTTCATGACAACAGTGTCAATTTGTAAGGTTAAAGGATATCTATATAGTGTCTGAGATAATCCTTTTATGCTTCCCCTTCTGACTCCATCCCCCAAGATCCATTGCTTACACAGACCTTGGGATGCTAATTCACAGAAAAATCACACAACGTTTTCCCTTTATACATTTATTTGCTTTTCCTGAAAGTGAGCAATACTTCCTCCGGTTTTTTTGTGGGTATGACAGATTGTAGTTCTATAATGCCTTGAAAGTTTTTAAACATTAACATGAGCAGTGCTTTGATGTTTGACCAGGCAGGTTATTTAGACTTAAGTCCAGAGAGGCCCCTTTACATAGACTACAAAACCTCCCAGAGAATTACAGCAAAGTCACCCTACAAACAGTGCCATTTGATGTGTGGATTCCTTGATTTTCCAGCAATACCTATTTACTATGTGCTAGGATTTTTCCATATTCATAAGAAATCCTTTTAATCCCTCACATCTTTCTTATCTGCTTTCTCTTCTTTGATGCTCCATGATATCTATAATAGCAGAAGATAGTTCTGAAGTCATTTAGAATGGTAGTCTATATTTATGAGTTGAATATTTTATATTTATGATGTCTTGATGTAGATTATCCTGCTTTGGGGGGACCTTGGTAGATCCCAGTCAGGGTAGAATTTAGGTTATCAGCTGAGCCTTGGCTGGTGAGGCTGAGATGAGTTTTGTCTGAGGTCCTTGGCTAGAGTAGAGGATTTGGTTTAGATGTTTTCTGTCTTGCCAGGCTGCCCCTTTCTTGGTCCTTCCGTGACAATGAGACCCGGCTTTTAGGGACTTTACATCTGTGCCCACAGGCATTTCTGAATTGCCCACGTCTCTACTACCCAGGCTGCAAATATCCAGAAACCTCAAGAAATTAGTCCTGTGCCAGCCCTCGTGTTTATGGCCCCCAGTCAGCTTACTTTCTGCTCTCCACCTTTCAGAGCCACCTTGTACTTATTTGTTACATCTATGTTGTTTAGCTGGACTTAGTGAGAAGAATATAATAAAGCGTGTCTACTCTGTTTTCCTGGGAGTGGAAGTCTTTTGTTGGACTTTGATAACGAGGTAATGCAAGGTTCATTAAAGGAGTTGGAGCTATTTTCTTTTTCTCTTCTTCTGTAGAAGTCTCTGTTTCAGATGAAACTTTTCACTCTTAAATATTTGTTGGAATTTGCCGGTGAAACGTTCAAACCTGGAAGCTTTGCTTTCTCGTTTACTGGGTCTTTCTTCCTCTCTCTCTCTCTCTCTCTCTCTCTCTCTCTCACTCGCTCTCTCTCGCTCTCTCTCACTCATGCAAAAGTTTTAAATAATACATCCATTTAAAATAGTTATATTTTGATCTCTTCTATTCTTATTCTTTCATACAAAAGTTTTAAATAATACATCCATTTAAAAAATAGTTATATTCTGTTCTCTTCTATTCTTACAGAAATTTTAGACATATTTTTCTAGAAAGTATATATTTTACCTGAATTTTAAGTTAGCATATTCAAATTTATAAATATACAGTTGTAAAAAATTTATTTTTTAATCTCTATCAACTACTTTCCCAAATTTAATTATAAATTATTGAAAGGATAGTATGAACCAGTAACTCTCAATTTACCCCCCTTAAGCTAGAGTTGGGTTCTCTTGCCTATAAACAAGACCCCCTAACTAATGCGTGACCCCAGAAAATGGAGAGACATGGACGTGCAGTTGAGGCAAATTGATTTGCAACGAATTTCCACGAGAAATGTGCTCTTCTTTCTCTTTCTTGAGATAAACCCACAGTGTGATTTAAGAGCAGGAGGTAAAGCTTCTGTTTCTTTTGAAGACTCTTGCAATGAGTGTGCTCCCTGCAATGGGAACTGAAAGTTTTCGTAGGATTCAAAGAACATTTCAACTGAAATAGAAAAAGTCTTCTAGCTTTTGGGGAGTTACTACCAAGGAGTCCCAGAGCGAAGACAGAGATGGAGGGCAGGACTAAAGGAGTGTTTTTCTTTGAACTGGCTCAGAGTCAGACTCTCATTCTGCTGTAGCTCACTGTTGGGGCATTTGCAGAGGTGGCAACAGGCAAGGTAAGGGTGGGGGCACCTTTGCAGACCTCATCTGGCTTTAGTTTTCTATATATAGTACTTGGTAGTACAGTAACATTAAATAATGCGATTTATGTATTTTTATATTGATTCTTGAAAGATGAGTGTCATTTACATTTTGTAAATGTTAATAATCACATTCCCCCCCCCAAAAAAACAGAAAAATACATGTGTGATTTTGGCTCCCTCTGCCGGTCATTCATAAGTACTTTATGTTTTACTCAGGACAAAACCAAGACAATTGTCTTTCAGATAGATTTTTAAAGATTGTTCGGTGGTTATTACAAGATTGCTTTCTCTTATTTGGAATAAAATATTTTATTAACATTTTATTTAGATTTTAATTAATGTTTTTAAATTTATGACAAACTTCAATTTGGTAAATACATTTTCATTTTGGTATCCTTTTAAATTTTGAAATTAAAATTCAAAGGACACATTACCATAAAAATAGATTAGAAAATATCTCAGGTAAAAAGCCTTAATTTATCCAGGTGTGGTGGCACATGCGTTATAACCCCCACACTCTGGGAAGCTGAGGCAGGAGGATCACATGTTTG